CAGTTCCCGCACGGAAAACTGCGCGTTGTTGGGCGGTATCAGACCTGCGGCGGCTGTGCGACTTAGAATTCGCCACCAAAGCCAATTCGATAGCTGCACCGTCGTGATTCCGATCATCAACGCCGCAAAGATAAGCACCGTCTTCCAGTTCGGATCTTGGAACAGAATCCCGGCCCCGGCGAGCGCAACGATTGAAAGCGGAAAACTCGTCAAGACCGTTGCCCAAGCAGCTGCGGAACCATTGTTTCGGAAAGTTCCACGATATTGCTGGATGACCAGGATCGTTGGCCAGGGAATCATAATCAGTGACGAGAACGTAAAGCAGGCTTCCCAATAAATCAGGCCAGGCAGACAAGTTCCGATGAGTGCCGACGAACCTAATATTGAAAGCACGGCGCATGCTTGATGAAAGAAAGAGGGTTTCGGGAATCGAACCGCTTCGTTCATAAGATCAATACGAGAACGCCGTTTTAAAAATCTTGGAAACTAAAACCACAGTACATGATGCCAGCCTTGTCGAACGCCATACGAAGTAATGCCAAAGATCCAGCCTATGGCCAAGAGCAGTAAGAAGACCTCTTTGATGGTCAGGTTCTTGGTGACAGGAGGCAGCGTATGTGATTGCTGGGCGGCATAAAGCTGTTCGCCCCAGACTAAGTGATAATAGGCGTTCACGAGAAAAACACCAAAGAGTACGAGGTAAGTCAGGAGCATTGCCACCGGGGCAAAGAATAGAGAGTTGGCAAACATGCGGAGCGCCGCAGGCAACGCGGGAAGGTAGACCAGGAATAGAACCAGCCCGAGAACTCCATTTAACCAAGTCGCCAAGACGGCGGCCTGACGGTCGAAGCGAAACGTGCTGAGGTACTGCAAAAGTGCGACAAAGATCGGCGCACACGTCAGTCCGGAAGCGATCACTTTCTCTTGCCATTCACGGCTGAAAAACCACGTCGTCGTAAATCCGGCAAACGAAAGCCAGATGACGATCATTAGCGTCGACCAAGCGTAGTGCCGCGTGGTTGGCCTCAGGGGATTCACAGGTTCCGTCGACACTTACTCTTCCTTGGGGACAGCAATTTCTTCGTAGTAAGCAATGCCCGCTGGACGATCGTACGTGATGCAGTGAATAAGGGCTTCGGTCCGCAGGTAAACTTGAAAGCCATGCATCACACGATGAGTTTTGTATGGCACGAGAAACGGAGTTTGGGTCGGATCAGGAGGAGAAACCTCGACGGGGCCGACAATTATTTCCTGCTCGCTAGGCCGATCGGATGCCATGTCCCAATCTTGCTGAGAATGCCATTTGCGGAGTTCTTCTTCGGTGATTTCATAA